TCAGAATATGGCAAACGACGATCAACACACTAGGGTGATTCCAACGTCTTTGTGACACTTTATAAAGGACTTTCTTCAAATCGATTTTAACCTTTATAATCATGTATAACATAGTCAATTTTCTTTGCATGACGCCAAAAGATCCGCTATAAATTCTAATAATGAAGAGATCGAAGATTGGCAAAATACGGCTTAAAATACAGAAACATAATAAAGTAAAGCTAAAAATATGTAAAATATCCATCATCATATATTTTTAATGCAGAATTTGTGCACATAATGGTATAGCAGATTTTTCTAAAGCAAAGTTCACTCGACAAACCCATGTATATAACACTTCGGAGACTATCAAAGAGAGTATCTTTTCAGCATGAAAAGATTGTCATCAATTATCAAGCTATAAATATATATACCATGACATGAACTTCTGTGACAAAATTTTCACGCTCAAAAGATACTCTCTTTGGTAGCTTCCGAAAAGTGTTATATATATATTCGTGGAAAAAATAAATTGCACACTGTATTTTGAGGATATCATTATCATAACAGTGTACTTTTTTTAAAAGAGAATGACATATTCTGAAAGCGCCTGGAGTTTTCTATCAGCCTGTATATTTAGATTTTCATCTGAACATATGTATTACCAAAAAAAATTTGAGTTCAATAAAGGCACCCTCGTGTCTAGATTCCGACAGGCTCGATTGTGTCACTGTCATCAAAATTAGGTTTTAAAATTTTTCATCACTATGGAATTACCTTTTGAAAAAAGTAACTATAGATTCTGATAAAGCCTCAATTCTCTATCTTCCTGTATATTTATCTCTTTTCTTGAGTTTATATACAGAAAAAAAATTTAGTACAATGAACATACTCTGAATCTCTAGTACAAAAAATCTGCATGTTTCCTTCCTTCGAGTTTTCTTTTTGAATTTATATACCTATACGAATTTTCTTTTCAAACAGCAATTGTATATCCTGATAGACATTGGAATTCTCTATCATCCTGTATATTCGTGAATCATCTTGCATTTGTGTGCTGAAAAATAATTCCAGTATCACTTCGACATAGTAGTTGACAAGCTCTAAAAAGAAATAATTTTTTTTCCTATCTCTTTCGTCTTTTGTTTCAAAAGTTCACGATGATAGAGAATTTCAAGCTCTATCAGAATATATAATTACTTTTCTAAAAACATAATTCTATAGTGATGCAAATTTAAGAAACTAATTTTGATGACAATGAAAAACTCATGTCTGTGGGAATCTAGACATAAGGGTACCTTCATTGTACTCGATTTATTTTGATAATAGTTAAGTATAAACTAAAATATAAATATACAGAGTGATGGAAAAATTCCACGGGCTCTCAAAATACGTTTTTATGATAAGGTTTTAACTAAAATATGGACTGCAACTTTTTTTCTGGGCAAATATTTTGTTAAATAATTTTCGAAGACGATTTTCTTTCATACAAGTAAAACTTCAGCATTCTGAAAAATACTCATGTAAATAAACATGTTCATCAAGACCATAACAAGTATTTTAAACGATTTAATACTGAGTAATATGTTTCTGAAAATTAAATCAAATATCTTATGTTTCAAGGAAAAAAATCTACTGATATTGATTTTGTACATGTTTATTTATTGTAAATCAATAGAAATAATAATCGCTTATGACAAAAAGAAAAGCAGATAAAATACATATATAAGAAAATAAATATATAAAATGAAAATAAAGAATTTTTCTCTATTCGATTTTTAATATTAATTTGGTTGATTAACAATTTCCATAATTTCAAATATCTGTTGCTTCTTGTTTTGTTAAATCTTCACGTAATAATAAAATTTGTATAACCTGATTCGCACTTAAAGTTGGATATTTTTTTGCTAATGTAGCTATTTCAAGCACAATTAAATCTAAGTCTGTTTGTTCAACTACATCAGCTATATTACTTAATATATTAAAATGATATTCAGTTGCATTATTAGCTGGGATTTAAATATAAACATGTTGAGCGATTGTAAAAATTTTATTGTCATATTCTCATGTTTATACTTTAATTATCAAAAGAAACGAGATTATACAAAATTATGCTATTAGAAAGCCTGGCAGAAACACTCAAGGCTAAAATAAATATATTCGGCTAAGGATTATAGTTTATCTCTACATGAACTACTTATATATAAACTAATTTTGTTGTGCCGCAAGATTTATGGAATGTATTATGTAGAATTTTTTACGTTTTTATATATTAGCAATAACAAAATTATAAATTAGTAGTTCGTAGTTTTGAAAAGATCTATTAATTGCGTAAGATAAGAAAAATATTCATTTTCATCTTACAAAATAAAAATACTTTGAAACATGAAAGTTATATTCGATTTATCAGTGATACATAATGACATTAGTGAAATGACTCAAAGTCTCTTGAATTCAGTAGTACTTCTTGGAGTTGGATATCAAAATGGCAGTCTAAAAGAATGCTTTCAATTGTCATGTGCTTTGTCTTGATTGACAGACCAAAGCGAAATGCATTCATATAAGTTTTTTTTCTGTACTTTCATCATTTTTATTTAGGAGGCTAGAATGTTTCTATATTTGCAATATTTTACACAAGTTCATTGTTTCTTTCCTTATTGTTCAGTTCGTATTCTCATTGCTGTGCCAGCATTCAATGTTGTTATTGGTATAATTGTATTATGTCGTCTTCGTAGACGGTACAGATGCTTCCCTATCCAAGAATGATGTCGGAATACTTCAAAATAGGCACGAGAAGGCACAATGAATAGGAAGAAAGTTGCTGCTTGTGGTATATGAATAATCAAAGCAAATGAAGTATTCAATCTTAAAAGCCATTTACTGTTGATATTAACACATGAGAATAATAATGTAAGTACCAATTGTGGTAAAATACATGCCTGAAAGGAACAGAATTTATTATAGTTAAAAACAAACAATACATTACATACTATAGTTAATGTTGGTGAAATAAAGAGATGACCATGACGATGAAACTGTCTAATCCATTGTGACCAATATCTTGTTCTATGAATATTGGCTTTTCGACGGCTAATTGAAGCCAAAATTAAACAATTAGCCAACATATTAAGTGAAACAGGCACGAACACATGAATAAATGAGAATATTGTATTCAATGCCAATAGTTCTTCTGAATATCTTATTTGACAAACAAATTTGCCTGCGATCACCGGATCTGGTAATGTTCGTTTAGACATCAGCTCTGGCACATGCATTGAAGATACACAAATTGATATCACTATAACTAGGATGATTCCTGCCACCCGAGAACGAATTTTATTCCATAGAAAACCTAACTCAAGTGATTGAAGGGCTCGCTGTAATCCAATAAATCCATTCATCCAAAGACATATTCGTGTAAGTATCGATGATATAGGAGTGATCACATTGCATATAGAAAAAAATGATTCATAATTGAGAGAGTCTAATAATTGAATGAGACGAATCTCAAGTAAAAGAAGAACAGATATTGAACAACAACTGTAAAGAAGAAGATGAAATCCAACAGAGGTTGATCTTATTTGTGCTCGGTAAAATGTATTAGCAGATAATATATTTGATAATAGAGCAAATACAACCATTATTGTCACAGAAAACACATATGCAAATGTCATCAATGGTTGCTGATCGACATTAGTTGTTCGAATATCTGTTTTCATACTTGATACAAGACCAATAAGAAATATATTGACTGAATTATTACAGATCATTTTTGATGCTAACTACAAAATTGAGATTTAATGCTGTCGAAGAAACGAAGGAAATGACACTTGCTCGAAGAGAATAATTAAAAGAACACAGAAAAAGCTACATGATGCTTTTAGAAAATATTTCCTTTTACATTTTCAGCATCGGAAGATAGTTTTTTCTGTAAAAAGAAAACGTTATCTCTGATAGGTGAAGCTAACATTTAATCTCGTAGACTAATAGAATAAATTACTTCTCTTGCTCAAAAGAAACCTATAAATAACATTTGCTACGTGTTATATTTGGCCTTGATGCTAATGACGTTTTTTTTTCTCATGTATAGTTTCTGCAATATTCATATTAGTGGAACAGTAGCATATTGCTCAAAGACCTGTCTGTTTCACATGTTCTTCACATACAGAATTCGTTTTCTTAGAAAGATTAAGAAGCAAATAATGCTCTCTGAATGAGAAACGATATTGCAGCCTGCTATTTTGCTTTTGACAACAATGCATCTTCTCTTCTAAAATTAAATGCATACTTAAATTCGTCATGATCAAATCATTGTAGTTTTGTTTTTGAAACATGTTAAATTTACTTCTTGATATTTTTGAGCAACAATTATACGGTAATTATTCAAAATAATTTATTCAAGCAAAAATTTTTGAAGAGAAAGTTTATTCTAAAGGCTTAAAATCTGAAAAAGTAAATGTCTGACCATATAGTTAAGCAATCGAGAGTTATTCATAAGCGTGTGACGCAAGATCTTAGGTTAAATTATCGTTGAGTACTTTGCTTTATCTTGTAATGTTACGTAATTACGTTACTTCAAGATTAAGCTGAAACCATGTTTCTCCGACTGTATTTTGCTTTACACGTGCTGTAAAGGAGCAGTTTACATTGATCAGAATAGAATATACGGAATTGAAGTTAGAATCAATTTTGTCGAAGTTAGAAAACATATAAGAAATAACTATATTTAAGGTCTTACTCATATATCGTTTAATTATCTCCTACTAGACATGTGCAACACAGTGAAAATAATTTGGCAGTGATGAAACAGTCTAACCGTGTCTATTACAGTCAATGATGGAAGTAATGAAACAACCTTGTCAAATTTTTTTCTTCTCATTGACCTCCTTAATTGTGACAGATATGCCAAAAAAGTAAACTTTATTATTAGAAGTGCTGCGAGAATGATCAAAGTCATGAACATTAGGCATATTTCGGATAAAATTAGTTTCAGAAGATTTAAGCTTCTTAATTAGTATTTTAAATCTACACTATCCATTTAGATAGAATAATTGTTGTAAAATACACACAACGAAACTTTCTACAATTAGCATGATTGATTTCGATTAAACTGTTTCTTTTTAAGTTTATACTACGGACAAACAGAAGACAGAAATCTTGAAATTTGTTTTGTTTACATCGTAATTATGAATATTACCAAATTAAATAAAACTTCATTGTTCTAATGATTAGTTTTTGTAATTTCGTAGAAACAAAACACGTCTATTCATTGTTTGTCATTTTTAAGATTGTATGTAATAAACATAGACATTGTTGCAAAATGGATCCTTGGAAAGCATCGGTTTTGAGTTATAAATATCAGAAATGTAGTGGACTGAAATGCAGGAGTATCATATTTTTACTATCGTTGTCAGTAAGCGGTAAATGATCAGAAGTTTGTATGTAATCGGAAGTATGTCAAATTCGTTAATTCATTGATGCTTGTTTAGATTATGCATGCTCTATCGAACTATAGTTCGTAATTAAATTTATCAATTGAAAAGAAAAAATTCTATTTTCTAGCTCAAAGGTTTATTTTTCATCTCAAACGTTCCTGAAAATTGAGTGAAATCGAACTATAGTTCGTAATTACTTTTACCAATTGAAAAAATCTACTTTCTATGGCAAAGGTTTATTTTGCATGTCAAACGTTCGTGAGAATGTATTTAAAAACTTTCTAGTTTCTTTTTTACTTGTGCTCAATAGTCTATTTTTCATTCCTAATATTTCTAAAATGAT